TCCTTCCTTCCTTCCTTCCTTCCTTCCTTCCTTCCTTCCTTCCTTCCCAATTAGCAATAGCCCTTAGACTTATATATAGCTTCATAATGCTTTACAGCCTTCTTTAAGTGGTTTACAGAGTCAGCCACTTGCCCACAACAATCTAGGTCCTCCTTTTACCAACCTCAGAAGGATGGAAGACTGAGTCAACCTTGAGCCGGTCATGCTTGTTCATGTACAACACAGCACACCCACACTACTGAGCCAACAGCCCAGATCTGCTATTTTGCCCCCTCTCTGCTATGGATCCCAATAACTCTTTGGGTCGATCTGGTGGTCCCCCAGATTTTTGCAAGCCAGTTCCATTAGTCCTTTTCTTTTCCCCCAAGTGAGAGGCTGCCATAGAGAAGCGGGGTGGGGTTTCAACCTATTTTCCAATGCATCAGAAGACAAGACAAGAAAATACGTCTCCTGCTTGGATGGAGGGTTGGACTAGATGACCTACAAGGTCTCTTCCAACTCTGTTTATTGGCAATCTGTAAACTCTGCACAAAGCATCTTACTCCACTGGGGAACAAACTTGAAACATCAGCATTGCTGAAGTGAAATTGCACAGAGGCGGAGAAAAATAGCAAGTTGCCATGATTTGCTTAGAAAAACCAATTTTGTTACTACTATGTGCAGATGTCAAAGCAATTTAACCCAAGCTCTCTTCCTCCACATGGTATTTCAATCGCTCGTGTTTACTACTCTTGAGTTTTCAAGGTTACTAAGCTGTACGTTAGGGAGGCGCTCAGGGAATATCTCAGAAGCTGTTCTGGTAAAATCAGCTTCTTTCCTTTGTTCCAGGACAATTCTTCCATTCTCCATGAATACAGGGAGTCTCTAATTTATGATGGTTCATTTAGTGACGGTTCACAGTTAAATCGGACCCAGAGAATAAGCGACTCGTGACCATTTTCTCAGAGTGGCGAACTTTGCAGGATTCCTCTGGGTCCCCGCGATTGAAATTCAGATGCTTAGCAACTGACTCATATTTATAATGGTGGGGGGTCACGGGGTCCCCCATTTGTGACCTTCTGACAAGCACAGCCAATGGGGAAGCCAGATTCACTTAACGACCATCTTGCTAAATTCATAACTCCGGCGATTTGCTTAACAGCGGTGGCGAGAAAGATCGTAAAATGGGGTAAAACTGACTCTAACAAAGGTCTCGGTTAGCCACATAAATTTTTGGGCTCCACTGTCATTGTAAGTCGAGGACTTCCTATACTTTACTGTTTGACATTGACTTTATCAAAAAAAAATTGAAGTTTATCATTGCCAGAGCTTGAATAGTTGAACTAAAGAGGCAAATTTTGATTTTCAGTTACTATACAGTGCCTTGTCTTTATACAGCTAAGGTAAAGGTAAAGGTTCCCCTTGCACCTACATACTAGTCATTTCCAGCTCTAGGTGGTGCTGCTCATCTCTGTCACAAAGCCAAAGAGCCAGCGCTGTTCGAAGACGTCTCCGTGGTCATGTGGCCGGCATGACTAAATGCCGAAGGGGCACGGAATGCTGTTCCCTTCCCACCAAAGGGGTCCCTATTTTCCTACTTGCATTTTTTACATGCTTTTGAATTGCTAGGTTAGCAGAAGCTGGAACAAGTAATGGTAGCTCACTCCATGACACGGCGCTAGGGATTCGAACCACTAAACTGCCGACCTTCCTGATCAACAAGCTCAGCGTTTTAGCCACCAAGCCACCGCGTCCCTAAATGTAAATCTACAGCTAGTCCTGACTTAAAACAGTTCATTTAGTGACCGAGGTTACAAAGGCACTGAAAAAAAGTGACTTAGGACCGTTGTGCACCCTTATGACTGTTGCAGCATCCCCACATGATCAAAATTTGGACGCTTGGCACCTGAACTCGTATTTATGATGGACGCAGTGTTCCTGGGGTCACACAATCCCCTTTAGTGATCTTCTGACAAGCAATGGGGAAACCAGATTCACTTCATAATGTTGGTAAAATATGGCAAAACTCACTCAACAGCTGTCACGCTTAGCAAACGGTAATGTTGAGGACTATCTGCAATTGCCCAACTCTAGCCTCATTCTCTCTTCCTCTTCTTCTGGATTTCTTCTCTAGAGTCAGACAGTTTTGGGTTCTAGATCACCGGCTCTCTGTTATTCTTATAAGTAAAGTCTTTGTCTTTTCTATCAAGCTCTGCCTGACAGGTATGTCCCATGCAGCCATCTGGGCCACAATTGAGAAGTGGTGTCACACTTCTGGAAAACTTTCTCAACTTCAC